AGCAAGCAGGATTGTGTCAGTTGCATAACATAGGTTATTGATGAGTCTACCTCCAATCCTGATGCCATATTTCTCTTCAGAGAGTACAGCTTCTCAAATAATTCCATATACAGATTAAATATCTTTAGAAACAGTAAATTTCTTCAGAGTAGCTTGAACTTCTCCTTTATCCCCATCGCCTCTTGATTATATATTGTTTCATTAAATTCTTTTGTGTCAGCGAATTACTTTTTATACAGTGACTGTGTACTCCTTCCATCATCTTTTGATGCATCCTGCATCATTCAACATTCTTCCTTCAGCATCCCTAAGTTTTACAACTTGAGGCTTAAATTTGTTCTTCAGTTCCTTCAGCTTAAGAAATATTGAGCCAATTTGTCTCTTTTGATTTTTTTTATCCAGTTCTTTACACATGTCATTATAATACTTTTCTTTGGTTTTCAGAGTTGCCCTTTGAAATCTTCTGTTCAGCTCCTTAACTTTATTATGTATTCCCTTTTCTTTGGTCTCTTAGCCCGCTAAAGTAATATTCAGAGTCCCTTCTGACATATATCTTGAACTTTTCTTCCTCTTCTGTCTTTGTAATAATCTTTTATATTCTTCATGAATGATATTCTTGATGTCCTCCCACAGCTTATCCGATCTTTGTTCATTAATATCCAAAGTTTCATAGCTGTTCCTGAGATGGTCTTTAAATTCTTATGGGATAGACTTGAGATCAAACTTTGGTTCTTGTGGATTTGATTTTATTTTCTTTAGCTTCACTTTGAACTTGCATATGAGTAGTTGATGGCCTTTTCCACTATTAGCACCAAGCTTAGTTTTCATAGGTGATATTCAACTTCTATATCAATTTATTTTCTGTAGATGTAGTCAATCTGATTGCTCTGTAGGCCATCAGGTGAAGTCCATGTGTATAGTTACCATTTGTGTGTGTGTGTGTGTGTGTGTGTGTGTTTGTTGTTGTTGTTGTTTTTATAGAAGGTATTTGCAGTGAACAGGTCTTTGGTTATACAGAATCTATCATTCTATCTCCAGCCTCATTTCTATCATCAAGTCCATGCTTTTCTACTACAAATCCTACTTTCCTATTCCCAAATTTTGCATTCCAGTCACCCATTTTTATCAAAGCAACCTGGTTACATGTTTGATTGATTTTCGACACCAAATATTGGTAGAAGTTCTCTATCTCTTCTTCTTTGGCCCTGGTTGTTGGTTTCTATATTTGGATGATAGTGGCGTTAATAGGCCTTCCTTGTATGCATATGCATGTTACCTTGTCACTCACAACATTGTGTTTAAAGATGAATCTAGAAATAGGATCACATGAAACCTATACTTGGACCAGGAAGTAGTAGTCAGAATAGAGCAAGGGATACATCCTATCTCCATACTTTTTCAATCTGTGTATGAAACAGATCATTCAGGAGGCTGGACTTTATGAGGAGGTATCAGAATTAGAGGAAGACTCATCAATAGCTTGCGTTATGTATATGACACAACGCTACTTGTTGAAACTGAGGAGGAACTGCAGAATGTCAAGGATTATATAGTCTTCAATATTGATTGAAACTCAATATCAAGGAAACAAAGATTCTCACAACTAGGCCAATTGGCAGCATCATGATAATAGACAGGGAAAAGATTGAGATTGTTAATAATTACTGCTTTCTTGATCCACAAGAAATTATTTTGGCACCAGCAGTCAGAAAGTAAAAGTTGAATTGAATTAGGAAAATCTGCTGCCAAAGACCTCTCTAGAGTACTGAAAAGCAATAATGTTTTGAGACTAAGGTACTCCTGGTCCAGACCATTGTCTTCACAATTATTTCCTTGCTATGCATCATAGAGCTGGATAAGGACTAAGGATGACAGAAGAGGAATTGATGTCTTTGAGTTGTGTTGCTGAAAAAGAGGGTTGAACATATAATGAACTGCCAGGAGAACAAATGGGTCTGTCCTAGAGAAGGTGAAACTAAGTTTCTCCTTGGAGGCAAGGATTCTCAAACTCTGTCTCACATACTTTGGGCATGAGACCACAAAGGATTGGTCCTTGAATGGGACATCATGCGTGGAAGGGTGAGGGAACAGGGCAGGAGAGGAAGACCCTGGATGAGATGGATTGACTCAGTCAGTGTCTACAGTAATGGGATTAGGTGTGTCAGAGATAATGATATTAGCTTAGGATAGGGCAGGGTTCAGACCTATTGTACATAGGGTCACTGTGAGTATCAAGTGTCTGGATGGCACATAATATCAACAACATGAAAACAACAGTCGAGGAATTGAAGAACTTACTGCATTTGGTGTAAAAAATAAAAAATCCAAACAACAAAGTAAGAATAGACTCACTTTCATTATTAAAGAGATGTCACTTTGAGGACTAAGATGTAAATGACTCATGTCTTTAAGTTTTAATTGCCTCATATGCACGTGAGAGCTGGGAGGAAGGGGGAATAAGAAAGACCCAAGAAGAACCAATGCCTTTAAATTATGGTGTTAGCAAAGAGTATTGAATGTATCCTGAGCAAAGAGAAGAATCAGTGAATATGTCTTGGAAGAAGAATAGAGAGGGTGCTCCTTAGGCTCAAGGATCATGAGTCTTACTTATTTTGCACACGTTATCAGTTAGAACTAACCTCTGAAGCAAGATATCATACTTGGTAGCATAGAAGGTCAGTAAAACAAAAGAAAAAAAGATCTTCAAGACACTGGATAGACACAGTGGCTGCAACAGTGGACTCAAACAGCAAAGATCATGAGGATGGCACAGGATAGTGTTTCATTCTATCATATGTGGGCTTGCTATGAACTGGGACCGATGCAAAGGCACCTAAGAACAACAGTCCACCGTGTGGACTCTTTCCTCTGTATTCCTTTTAATTTTGTCAAATTTATGCTTGGTTAAATACAGTTTTGGAAAATTCCCCAACTTCAGCTCCTTTCCTTCGCATAAGCCTTTTGTAGTTGTCTCTAATTCATAATAGCACTAAAGGTCATCTTAAGGTCGTCCTGAGGGTTTAGAAGGATATAATCTTTGTGAGAGAAGATCATCACATGTACAGCAATTGGTGATCATCTCTTGTACAGCAATTGGTGACTTTAAATCAGTGCAGTCAAGCACTGAAACACTGCACCTTTGTGTCTCCCTCTTTCTTAGCATAAGATGTTTTCTCTTAGGGAGTACAGTGTAAATATTTATCATTTTCCTTCAAGTATACACAGAATACCTTTAAGAAATAGCTGTTTCAACAGCTATCCATACTGCAAATATTGGGGAAGGGACCTTCTCAAACAATTACTCTGTTAGTTTCCAATTCTCAGTTATGCTGTGACACAGATGTATGGCTATATAGATAATAATAGTAACTCTGTCTCTGGTGCCACACATTGTTCTAAGTAGGGCACATCATTGGCTAATTTAATCCTCTCAACCTATGAAGGTGGAGACTCTTATTATCTATATTTTACAGAGAATATAACTGATATAGGAAAGTCAAGTAAATTTCCCAAGGTCATTTAGAACGTGGCAGTACCTTTTCAAACCCAAACCATCTGGATCAGAGAAAAAAACCAGATTTTAATTACTTCATTTCACAGGCAGAGAATATGCCTTAGGCATGATTTTATTTGAAAGGGGCCAATGAAGACCCGTTTACCAAAAATCTTTCTTCCCTCAGTTTTAATTATGCTGAAAATAACATTATTTGGTATTAATTGCTCAAAATCAAACGTCAAAAAAATGCACCTACTTAGACCTACTCACTAGCTCAAATCCATTTTCTAGGGTAGAAATGCTCTCTAAGAAATAATAGTAGCACAACTCAGGGGTTTTTTTTTAATACATATTTGGTAGATTTTTTTAGCAACTTAACTTTATGGACAATCTCCTCCTGTACAATTTACTGCCTCTAAAAATCCACTAGAGGGTCACCTATGAGTCGGTTCTGAATCAATAGCACACGAGAAAAACTCAGTTCTTATTCAAGGTACACAGTTTGAATTCCACCAAGTGCTCCATAGAAGAAAGATGGGCCATCTCTCCTGAATGGATTACTACCTCTGAAAGCTTGCTGGAGGGTTGAGTTGGTTTCAACTCAATAGTATTCAACAACAACAACAACAACTTAATTTTAAGACCCCAAACCTACCATGCCTGTATGCATGTTTTGTTTTGGTTTTTTTTTAAATAAAATTTTTCTTTTACCTGGTTTACTTAGAAAGTTCATGAACATTGTTTTTCACAACAGATCTTTCCTATTTCCTTTACCTACTCTTCCCTCCACCCATCAAATTGGGCAACACTATGATTATTACCCCCTGCCTCTGCTCCCACCCTCCACTCCTTAGACCTTAGATCCTCATACGTTTTACTAGTTGTCTATTTCTACATTAATAATATTTTCTTTTGTCTTATAAGTCAGTTTCTTTTTCTTTTCTCAAGTTATAGCCACATGGTACATAACTTGACTGCTTGAAAAAGGGCATTGTGGACTCTTCCTTCAGACTTGCAATCTCCTTCAAGGGCTCATTTTGGTATTAAGGATATCCAGTTTATGTAAACTGAGTCACACAAAATCCACTGAACTTTTGGCTGGTATATCTGTTTCTAATGTTATCGGATCAGTGATTCAAGATGTGGTACATATGAGGTATTTCTATTAAAAACAACAACACAAAAAAACCCCAATAGATTTAAACTTTAATTACATGTGTTCTATTATACTTGAGAATAAATATAAAACAAGAAAGGCATAACTCAAGAAAAAGTAAGATGATAACAAATATGGACTTTACTGTTTGACCAAGGCCATCCCTGCACAAGTTTATGCAGATGCCTACTTCTAGCCATACGAGACTATTGGTTAACACAGTCATTCTATAAGATGAAGTTATTGGTTAAGATTGTCTTTTGCAGGGCTTGTTATTCATGAGAGAATAATGAAACAAATACTTACCTAGACAGCCCAAGTAGACCTGTCATTATCTTTTCTTTTCAGCGTCAGCATGACTACATGTTCTACACTGCTTTCCCTAGGGATGATGCCACTGTGTCTCTTTATCTATACCAAAATGTGGGCTGATACTGGGACAATCACGATTCCCTATGATAGTATAGGTAAGTCATTCTTATGTAAGATGTTTTAATGTCATCTTCATACTTTGAGTTGTTCTTTCAGAAAAGAGTACTGACTATTACGTGGATGGCCAAAAAAATACAGAAAGATTTCTTAGAGAAGGTGCAGTCAGAGTGCTTCTTGGAGGTAAAGATGGAGAAGCTATTCCTTAGAAAGGGACATCATGAATAGAAAGGTAGAGAGTCACAGAAAGAGAGAAAGACCCTCAACAAGCTAGACACACTGACTGCAACAATGGGCTCATATATGTCAGAAATGATGAGGATATCACAGGAGAGGACAGGGTCCAGGTCAATTATTCATGCAGGTTGTTATGAATTTATACTCAACCTGACAGTGTCTAACAACAACAACTCTTCTGCTTATCCTCTAGGGATTGTCAAACAAGACTTTGATTCCACTTTTATTTGCCTCTTCCTTGCATGATTAGCAACAAAATCTGATTACAAATACTACAATTAAACATGAAGAAGTATTGGTAGAACTTAAATTCCCATCTTGATTTCATGGGAAAAAAATGCATTTTACCTCAATTCAAACCATCATAGAAAGGAAGCTTATGTTACTAGTATACAAGAGTTTCCTTTCTTTCCATTATTCATAGTCTAAACATTGTTAATGGTCATCCAGTCTGCCCCTAACACAGAATAGCCACATGCACAACAGAATAAAATTCGACTACCAGGGCCCTGCACCAGCCCCATGATCAATGACAATCAGTTGCAGATCAAACCTTTTTTACCTAATAATGATAGGAGTCTGCACTTAGACACTCAAATGTAAGAGGGGGGAAAAAAAAACCTCAACAAATTATTATAAACCAGCATATTTGATACGCAATGAGTTTCACAACAAGAAACTAACAAATGAAACATCTTATTCCTAATATTCAACTGTGAGCTGTGTTATGGTTGACAAGTTCATTTAATGGTGCAGTTTGCATTCCATGCCCTACGGGACTGATTTTCTAACTAGAACTCTGACTCCTGGACATTTACATTCACAACAAAAATCAAAGGAAGTTTTCCTTTTTTCTGTTTTTGGAAGATTGTGAGAGATAAAAATTGTCGGTGTGGTACAGGGATAAGGAAAATGCAAGATCATTCTTGGAACACTAAAGCAAGCCATTGCCCATAGATATTTCATATTTAAAAAGAAATGTTAAAAAAAAAGTAATGTACCAGAAACAATAACCAGGTACATTATGTACATCACACACAGGATTGGGTAAGCTTTCTGTCTGTGCTCCTAAGATTGCTACGAGTCATAGTCAACGCGATGGTACCTAGAAAAACACCCTTCGATACAAGTGACTCTCTAAATGGATTGCCTCATGAAGGCATGAATTTATCACTGAAGGGTACATGTAAGAAAAGACCAAATGTTGACTCATCAAGATGTTTGAAAAAGGGATTCTTATTCAGGAGAAAATCTTAACCAGCTAATGTTTTAACTTCTCCATTTCTATGAGACATTTTGGCTGGGATAAAATGTGATTTAGAGTCTACACAACTCAAATAAAACAAACTTTTAGAAAACTCTTTAGTATTTCCATCTAATCTTTTTCTCTCTGTCTTTCCTATTATGGCCATCAGACAAAAGAAGTCCTTGGCCTTGGCCTACTCTTCCTAGTATGTTTTTTTCTTTTCTTTTCTTTTCTTTTCTTTTAGTACAAGGTCTTTCTACTGATGCCTGAGGAATTCCATTATATCAGATTCCAACAATCCAAACCAACTGCCATTAAATCAATTCTGAATCATAGTGGTGCTCCATCAGTTTCCCAAGGCTATAAATCTATAGAGATAAAACTGTTCATCTTTCTACTGTGGAATAGCTGCTGGAATCAATCAATTATCTATTGGTTATCAGCCTTCATTGAATACAATACCAGTGATCCTTTCATGTCAGATAAACTCTCCGACTGTGTAGTGATCTCCACAACCACTTGCCTGTGTCTCCTGCTGCTAGACTCTCATGCTGCTCTCTGTGTGGATTTCTCTCTTAAACAACCTCCAAGTGATAGTGTTGGAATTTTATGCTACTGTCTGAGAAAAGAGTTTAAACTCTTCTTAACATTCATTCCTTACTGGAAAAATGTTCTATGACATTATTGGATAATTCTAACTATTCTGTTGTTGTTGTGTACTATAGAATTGGAACCAACCCATAGCTGACCTTCCAGCAGGTTTTCAGAGGCAGTTAATCGCTTGGAAGGAGATTGCGATCCTTCTCTCACAATTCTAACTACAGTGTGAATGAGAATCCTTAGAGAAAATAAATTTTTAAAAGATTGTGAGAAAGAGCAATTTTCAACTCAGCAGAGAAAAGAAAAATCATCCTAACAGAGGAAAAAGCAAAAAGAGAAGAGAAGGGAAGGTTCTTTTTAGTTGCTTGCTTGCCTTAAATGAGAGGAGTATGAGAGACAAAAATAAACTTTTCTTATTTATCATTTTTCCAGTTATTCTCCAACTTAACCTTCTTACAGTTTTTTTTCTAATCTTTTAGCAAATAAAATATACTATCTCAGTACTTCATGGGGATAGGATGTTAGCGCTACTTTGTAAATGGAGAACTAGAGCATCAGGGTAATTTAATTTTCCCAAATTCACTGGAAAGTTGGATGCAGTCCCCAAATCTGCTCTTCATTCAGCTGTGTGGGCAGGCTCGTAGTATACAATGCTGATTCAATAGCATACAGATGAGTTAACATCTGGGTGAGGTTTGTAATAATGTCTACAACTGATAAAACTAAAACAACAACAAAACCACTACAGCAATTTAATACATCTAGTTCGTTCTATGCCACATTTCTGAGTGTCTGTGTACCAAGAAATTTATATTAAATTAATTGTTTAATTTTCCCAATAGCAATGTGAGGTAGAAATGTACACACTCCTGTGTGCAAAGTAGAGTAAATCCATAGTCATTTCAGAAGCATAGCACCAGATGCCTTAAGATGCCTCTGAGCTGTCAATCTTTCATTTAGTATCACTCTACCCACACTACAAATGGAAAAACCAAAACTTAGAGAGGTTAAATAATTTTCACAATACCCACAATTATAAAGAAAGAAATACTCAGATGGTGTCTGTCTTCACCACATAACTTTACCATTACTCTTTTTTAATTCTCTTTCTTTCTACACCTCTTTCCTCCTCAACCTACAAGTTAAAGAGCAAGCTGTGATTTCAAACATATAACTGAAAGCAGGTGCATTTTCCTCTAAATAAATAGGCATGTTGCATAGAAAGTACAAGTTCATGGAGATAAGGAAAACAAACAGAGCCTGAAAGAGGGGGCCTGCCATGAAGAAGGTCCAAAATTACAGGGGAATAAAGAGTTAAAACCACTACTATAGGATATAAAAAAGAGTATGAAGAATCTTTTCCAGACAACTTCAAATCCCTAAAAAAAAATCATTTGTGCCATAGATTTCAATAGGTGGTCTTGATATTTTATCTTGTTTCTCTGGGTTGCCCCAAAGAGATAGGCCTTCTTAGCAAGGGGTCCAGTTGGGGAAAGTGGCCTTCCAATTTAGGAGACTTAGCTCACTTAAAATACATTATCAGCTCGCAGACTCCATGACCCCGCCTCCTCTCCCTCCTTCCGCTGCTGGGGCTCATTCATTCCGCTAGGTTCCTGCCAGACCCCTGCCTTCTCCTGCATCCGCCAGCCATCACCACTCCCACCGCCTCCCCCACCGCTGCCAGCATGTCGGGCTCTGCCACCGAGGCCCCGTGTGCCATTCAGATCTGCCGGATCATGCGGCCGGATGGCGCCAATGTTGCTGGCAATGTCCACGGGGGACCATCCTGAAGATGATTGAGGAGGCAGGAAGCCGTCATCAGCACCAGTCATTGCAACAGTCAGAATGGGGAGCGTTGTGTGGCTGCCCTGGCTCGCGTGGTGGAGCACACCGACTTCCTGTCACCCATGTGCATTGGTGAGGTGGCCACCTATACCTCCAAGCACTGTGTAGAAGTCCGGGTCAACGTGATGTCTGAAAACATCCTCACAGGTACCAAAAAATTGACCAACAAGGCCACTCTCTGGTATGTTCCCCTGTCACTGAAGAACGTAGACAAGGTCCTCAAGGTGCCCCCTGTTGTGTACTCACGCCAGGAGCAGGAGGAGGAGGGTCAGAAGCGGTACGAGCCCAGAAGCTGGAGCGCATGGAGACCAAGTGGAGGAACGTGGACATCATGCAGCCAGTCCTCAACCCAGAGCCGAACACCGTCAGCTACAGCCAGTCCAGCCTGATCCACCTTGCGGGGCCTTCAGATTGCACCCTGCACGGCTTTGTGCATGGAGGTGTCACAATGAAGCTCATGGATGAGGTGGCCGGGATGTGGCTGCCCGCCACTGTAAGACCAACATCGTCACAGCTTCGGTAGACGCTATTAATTTCCACGACAAGATCAGAAAAGGGTGTGTCATCACCATTTCAGGCCGCATGACCTTCACCAGCAACAAGTCCATGGAGATTGAGATCCTGGTGGACGCTGACCCCGTGGTGGACAACTCACAGCAGCGGTACTGGTCTGCCAGTCCTTCACCTACGTGTCCCTGAGCCAGGAGGGCAAGTCGCTGCCTGTGCCCCAGCTGGTGCCTGAGACAGAGGATGAGAAGAAACGCTTTGAGGAAAGCAAAGGGCGGTACCTGCAGATGAAGGCCAAGCGGCAGGGCCAGGCAGAGCCCCAGCCCTAGACATCTGCCTCCTGTGGGCCTCAAGCAGCCAATGAAGGAACCCAAATTATCGAATCCCTTAGGAGTTGTCCCCTTGGCCATAAACCCAATTTACGTTGAGAGCTGGTGTTGTGTGAAGTGTTTGTAACGCAGTGTTAACCTATACTCTGTCCTAAAAACGTATACACCAAAGCTTATTTATATCATTCCAGTATAAATGCTACACAGTGTTGTCCCCACACTGGGACCCTGGGATGACCTCTGTCACTGCCAAGTATGTGAGGAATCCAGCATCACTAATAAAGCTTCTATCTGGCTGGGGGGAAAAAATACATTATCAAAAGTTTATCATGTTTACACCCCAAGCACAATGCTTGCACCTAGATTCAAGAAAAGTGTACAATCAAGTCACATCAGAGGTATTGTAACTTAGGGCTTACAAATTTCACAAAGTTTTAAAAAATATCTAGAGACTCAAGAATGGAAGTCTCTTTCAAAGTAGCAAGGCTATTACCAATATGTCAATCAATGGTTCTTTCCATATCCTTTGTTCCACCATCTTTCTCCATAATGTCTCTTATCTACTTGTTTTTTCTTTCCTGATCTTAGTATCCTTTGTTGTGGTTGTTGTTATGTGTCATCAAGTCAACTATGACTCACAGCAACCCCATGAACAACAAACGGCTCTGAACTCTGCCCTATCCTAACCAACTTCACCATCTCCAACACATCTGATCACATTGCTACCAATGAGTCATTTCTGGGCAAAAGTCATTGCTAACCCTTAGCTGACCAGAAGAGCTACAAAGACTACTAACAAATCCTATTTTCTTACTCTTGTGTTTACTTTACAATAAAATTAAAATTAAAATATTTGCTATCTGGAATCTCTTTTCTACTCATGGTTCAATATTACTCCCGAACTAAACAACTTCTGGGCTTAAATTTCATTATTTTACTCCTCTTTTTCAATGCATCTTTAAGAGACTGTTTGTAAAAGAAACAAACCATAAAAAGTCAGAAATTCTTGGTGTTAGATTGTATAAAATCAGCTATTGAACAAATGAGTGTTAAATAATACAGAGAAACAAGCCTTTTGTCACAAGAACAGTCATAAATTTAACACAGTGAAATTGAAGGATGACTCATTTATCTGCCTGGGTGAACACATTTCTGTAAAGAATTATAATTACCTGAGAGGTCGCCAAACGTATTATCTCACGGAAAATTTAAAGCATGTGTTTTCAACCTGTTCTCTCACCTCTATGTTGCAGATTTAAATAATGGAAGTTACTCTTAAATAGAAAGCATTAGCTTTTTGATAATTAGAGATCTCAAGTTAATGTAAGTTTTTAGTTTTGTTACTACCATGAAGTAAAAAATAAATATACCTACACACTCACACATACAAGCATACATGAAAGGTAATTTTTACACTAGGATATAAAGATACAAAGTTTAAATGATCCAAGATTCAGATAAATAGAAGCTATAAATAATTGGCAGTCAGTCTAAGAAATTATGGAAAAAATAATGTGGACTTTAGAAAAAGGATTTATATCATCAATATTAGCAATTTCCTATCAAGAATATGAAATTATTGAATTAATCATTCTTTGGAATGAGTAATGATAGTTAACTGTTTTATTATATTTTATATACTCATGATGGAAGACTAAGCTATTATCCAAGCTTTTTTTAAGCTGTGGATCCTTTTGCTCTTCTCTTTTCTGGGCTCTGTGTCCTGTCGATCTAATAGTCTTTCTTTTATTTTTAGGTATTTCTTTGGTAACTCTTGTTATTCCTGTTTCTGTTGGGATGTTTGTTAATCACAAGTGGCCCCAGAAAGCAAAGATCATACTTAAGGTAAGTGTCTTATGACATGGCTGTACAGATATTATCCCACGATAATAACTGAGATTACATATAGGCATAACCACTCAACGTTTTCCACCAGCCATTCCAACTAAGTAAATTAATAGATAAATATTAGTTTATAATTACAGATTAAAATCAAGATATAAATACAGGCAACTACATTTTTCTCCTGTTGTTGTTAAGTGCCATGGAGTTGTAGGTGACTCATAGTGACCCTATAAAGGAATGTCCTCAATACTTGTGTGACTTTCATCCTTTCTCCAGGTTCATAGGGTTTCCAGAGGAAAGTTATTACAGAAGTGGATGCCACTCATGCTTCCAAGCTGGAAGTTCCAAGAACATTTTTCTCCTAAGTGGACAAAATAAATTAGCTGATACTCCCCCTTTCTCTTGGGAGAGGAGATTCACCATCTCCTGCTTTTGGAGCAAAAAAGCAAATATCTAAAAGACAAGAGTAATAGCAACATCTTGCATATTTCTATGCCTCTTTGAAAGTGTCTTTTTTTTTTACCCCTTTTATAATTGTTGAAATAATTATAAAAAGCAATTGGCAAGAGGTAAAAAATTATAAACTGTTATTACAAATGAGGAAATTAGAATTAAAAAATTCCATTATTTGTGAAAGAATACAGAATAGGAGAAATCAGGAAACAAGACTTTCTGGCTTTTACTCTAATATAGTTTCTTTCACCACGACAAGAATAATTTCCAAGATAGATCATTATTTTTTTACATGCTATTTGAATATGAATACATAAGTCCTATTACTTTCCTTAAAGTGTGGGCAAAACTCAGCTTTTTTAATACAGGCTGAGTGCAGTCACCTTCAAACTAGCATTGTGTTACGAGAACATCATTATCACTGCTGTCGTTGTTGTTGATGTTGTTGTTGTTGTTAAGAGCTGTTGTTTTGAGTACAACTCATAGTGACCCTATGAGCAGCGGATCTGAATCTCATCCTGTGCTATCTTCACATTTCCTGACACACTAGAGCCCAATGTGAGTATTCATGTCAATCCACTTGATTGAGGGTCTTCCTCTCCTTCGCCAACACTCCACACTTTCCAGCATCATGTCCCTCTCCAAGGAACACCTCCCCCCCAGCAACATGCCTAAAGTATATGAGACAAAGCTTCAGCTTCCTTGCTTCCAAAGAGCACAGCAGCTGCACCCTCTCTAAGACGTATTTGTTTGAATAGGAATGTCAGAAGAATATATTATTATCACTACCCTAAATAAAAAAAAGACTTTATCTTCTTTTCTGCTAAATGTATATTCACTTCTTTTGACACATGATTGTTGAGTTTGTGTTTCTCTTTCAGATTGGGTCCATAACAGGAATCGTTCTCATTGTGCTCATTGCTGTGATTGGAGGAATATTGTATCAAGGTTCTTGGTCCATTCATCCCAAACTCTGGATTATAGGAACAATATTTCCTATTATTGGCTATTCCCTGGGTTTCTTTCTAGCTAGAATAGCTGGTCTGCCCTGGTACAGGTATGTCATTTTTAAAAATCAAACTGGAATTGTTTTTGTGTTGTGCTGTAAAAATCCTTGATCTTTAATGATTACTGGCTCTATTTCTGAAAATATTGTTCTAAGCAGATTCAGTCTTTCCCAGATTGTGTAAATATGTTGACTGGCTCTTTTTTTGCTCATATTCTTCTTTCCTACTCTTCCATTACCATGCATTATACTACTATATACTATTATACGATATAGCAGAGTGTATAGAGTGATGAGGGTTTTTCCAGCCAGTAATGAGAACTGAATTTCACATTAGTACATTTTTCTTCCTAATAGCCATTCTGATTCAAGTGACAGATAAAAAAGTAGAGGATAGAACATTTTACGTTAGGAAAAGATGAGTAGAATTGAACAGTGAAGCAATGTTTAAATGAGAAAGACCTAGACTTGCATTCTCCGTGCTACTTACCAACTGCAGCACCACTGGACAGACATTCATCCTTTCTCAAGTTTTCTCATCTTTAAAAAGGGGGTAATAATGCCTATTTGCAGTCTTAAGAGTTAATCCATTAAAACAGATTAATCAGAAAAACAAATTCAGCTTAAGCAAGGAAACAACTACAAGAAATACCTAAAGTATTTGCTGCATAGTACTGTACGCTGTGGTCAAGGATAAAATTATAATGGCTGAAATAAGTAGCTTTGCTTTTTAAGTAATGCTTATGTAAATGGTCCAGCTTCACACACCTTAGTATATGTATAAGTATTTGTTCTCAATCAACACTGAAATGGTGACAATTCCAATCCAGCCAGAGGAAATAAATAAACCTGACAACTGGCTTCAGCCAGGTCACAACCTTGAAAGCCCTGTGGAGCCGTTCTCTTTGGCATGTACATAGTCCACTAGGCGTCAATTATAAAGAACTCAATCATAGTAAAATACATCACTTGCTCTCTATATGTATATTAATGTTATTGAATAGCCTCAACAACCAAAACCAACACACACAAAAAGTATGTATACTTTTAATATTTATTTTAGGTGTCGGACAGTGGGTTTCGAAACAGGGATGCAGAATACCCAGCTGTGTTCCACCATAGTCCAGCTCTCCTTCAGTCCTGAGCAGCTCACGTATATGTTCACCTTCCCACTCATCTACAGCGTTTTCCAGCTGGTTTTCGGAGGATTATTCTTAGGATGTAAGTGATAATACTAATCACACTTAATCATGCTGTTCTTCTTTTAAAAATCCTAGAGTTGCTTAGATAGCATTTTTATAAGTTCCTATTTCTGATCATCAACTATACAAATAAGCGAGAGAAAGAAAAAGCAACTCAATTTCTGATAAAAAGTTTGTTATTTTGCTAACATTTTCTTGTGAACTTTATATTTAAGTCTTCAATATGATTTGCCTCTCAGTGTCAGGAAAACAAAATTCTCACTGCTGTACCAATATGCAACATCATAATGGAGAAAAGATTCATCTTACTTGAATCAACAATCAAGACACTTGGTATCAGCAGTCAAAATATCAAGAGCCATATTGCACTGGGAAAGGCTGCAATCAAGGACTTCTCCAAATTATTGAGGAGTAATGATGTCAGTTTGAAGAGTAAGCTTATCTGATTCAGGCCAGGGTCTTTTTAATCACTTACTATGCATCTGAGAGGTAGACAATGAATAATGAAGAAAGAAGAATAATTGATGCCTTTGAACTGTGTTGTTGGAGAAGTGTGCTGAATATTCCATGGACTGCCAAGAGAAGAAATAGATTTGTCTTGAAGAAGATTCAGTCAGAGTGCTTCTCAGAGGCAAAAAATGATAAAGCTACGTCTCATATACTTTGGGATATCTTTCTAGGAAAGCTTATTTCTTGGAAAGGGACATCATGCTTGAGGAAGGCTTTTAGCCAAATTGATTGACACAGTGACTGCAGAAACAGAACTGAGTGTGCCAGAGATTGTGAGGATCACAGAGGAGAGGATAGAGTTCAGATTGGTTGTCCTCAACTCAACGGCACCTAAAACAACAACAACAACTTGTAGCCTATTGGGAAGATGTTACCCTGTCAACCCAAAGGCAGTACATTCAAATCCATAAACTTTTCTGTGGGAGAAAGATAAGCAGTCACCATCCATGCTTTTTACAGCCTCTGAAAACCTGCTGTCTAGTCAGCTATGAGTCTGTTACAAATTGATGGCACTTAACAGCAACAATAATAATAATGCTCTGAGAAGGTTTGGTGGCATCATTACAAGATGCACTATTGCCAAAAAGTCAGTGGGTTGAAACCCACCAACTGCTCCATGGGACAAATATGGAAGGTCTTGACTCATAAAGATTTAAAGCTTTTGAAACTCAATAGAGGGTCACTATAGTTGTAGGATGACAGACAGCAAGTATATCACCCATAAAGAGAGCAAAAAGTCATTACAAAGAAATGAGAGAAAGATAATACTTTTAAAAAAAGGTCAGAAGAGGCTCTAAATATTGCACTAGATCATTGAAAAGTCAATATAAAGGAAGTTGTTGTTGTTATGTGCCATCGAGTCTTTTGTGGCTGACAGTGACCCTATGGACAACAGCCCTGAACTCTGCTCTGTCCTGTGCCAATTGCACTGTCTCTGATATACCCATCTGAATTACTCTAGTCACTGAATCAATCCACCTCATAGAGGACCTTCCCCTCCTGCGCCATCCCTCCAACCTTCCAAGTATGATGTCCCTCTCCAAGGACCGGACCCTCCTTACAATATGCCCAAAGTATGTCAGACGAAGCCTAGAATCCTTGCCTGCAAGGAGCAGCCTGGTTTAACCCTCCCCAGGATGAATCTGTTTGTTTTCTTAGCAGTTCATGGTATATGCAATACTCTTCTCTGGCATCACAGCTCAAAGGCATCAATTCCCGTTCTATCCTCCCTACTCATTGTCCAATTCTCTGACACATAGAAAATGATTGCAAAGACCATGGCCTGTATCAGACACACCTTAGTCTCCAGAGAAACACCATTGTTCTTCAGTACTTTGGAATGGTCCCTAGCAGCAGACTTTCCCATCACAATACATCTTTAAATTTCCTGACTGCTGGTGCCAAAAAGTGTTGACTGTGGAGCCAAGCAAACTAAAGCTGTAAACAACCTCAATCTCTTCACCATCTATCCTGATGCTGCCAATTGGTTCAGTGGTAAGAATCTTTGTCTTCTTGACATTGAACTTTTTGAATCCGTATTGAAGACTGCAGTCCTTGACCCTCTGCAGCAAGTGCTTCAGGTCCTCCTCAGTTTCAGCAAGCAGGGTGATGAAGGAAGAAGTTCAGTTTGTTTTGAAGGAAATAGCAAAAAAGAGGCCTCAGGAATAGACGGTATACCAATTGACATATTTCAGCTAACAGATGCTGTCCTGGACGTGCTCACCAAATTGTGCCAAGAAATCTGGAAAACAACCACTTGACCAACAGACTGGAAGACATCTATATTTGTTCCCATTCTAAAGATGGGTGACTCAAAAGAGTGTTGAAACTATAGAACAATATCTTTGATTTCACATGCAAGCAAGATTCTACTGAAAATTATCCAAAAACGACTGGAACAGCACATCAGCAGAAAACTGCCAGAAGTCCAGTCTGGGTTTAGAAGGGGTCGTGGTACTAGGGATATTGTAGCTGATGTTAGATGGATCTTAGCAGAAAGCAGTGAATATCAGAAGAATGTATATCTGTGTTTCATTGATTATGCAAAGGTGTTTGACTGTGTGGATCATAACAATCTGTGGCTGACTCTGAGAAGAATGGGAATCCCAGAACACTTGATCGTACTAACACTAAACCTATACTTGGACCAAGAGGCAGTCATCAGAACAGAGCAAGGAAACACTGCATGGTTCAAAATTAGGAAGGGCATACGCCAGGGATGTTTCCTGTCTCCATACCTTTTCTATTTTTTATTTTTCTTCATACCTTTTCAATCTGTATGCAGAACAAATCATCTGGGAGGCTGGGCTCTAAGAGGAGAAATGTGGGGTCAAGACTGGTGGAAGATCTATCAACAATCTGGGTTATGCAGATGACAAAACAAAGGAAGAGATGCCCAAGTAAGACAGAAGAATGGAAGATTTCAAAGAGCAGCACGAGAAGATAAATATACAATAGAATGTGCAAAGAACTGAAGTTGAAGAATAAAAATAAAAATATTTACTCAGAATTTCTCAACCTGAAAGAATTGAAAAATAAATTCAAACTTTGAGCTGCAATACTGAGAGATTCTATGGGAAAAATCTTAAATGATCCAGGAAGCATCAAATGAAGGTGGAAGCAGCTTGGAATATACCCAAAAAAAATGAAAACTGAGGCACAAACAGAGATTTGTACACCAATGTTCATAGTACCATTATTCACCATAACAAGGACATGGAAACAGCCCAAATGTTCAACAACAATCAGATAAAATTGAGAAATGATAGTTCATTAACATGATGGAATGCTACACAGCATGCAGGAGTAATGATTTTTAAAATCACTACCTAACTTGGGAGGGACTGGAGAGTATTATGCAAAGTGAACTAACTCAGTCCCATAAAGACAAATACTGTATAAGACCATTATTGTAAACATAGAAAGATAAGTAGTAAAACGTGTATAAGGATCCAAGGGGGGGGAGGAGAAAGATGGGTGAGGTTGGATGGGGGTGGGGTAATCACAGGGTCCCACAATTTGATGGGTGGATGGACGGGTGTATAAAGGAAATGGGAAAGATCCAGTGTGAAAATCAACATATACAAACGCTGTAAGTAAATCAGTAGAAAAGAAAAATATAATATAAAAAAAGGTGGAAGGAATACATAGAGTCACTGTACCAAATAGAACTGACTGACATAGAACCATTTTAAGAATTAGCTTATGATTAAGAACCAGTGATAATAAGAGAAGAAGTTCAAGCTGCATGGAAGGCATTGGAAAAAGCAAGGCCTTGGGAATTGATGGATTAACAGCTGACATGATTCGACTAACAGATGCCACCTTGATGGTGCTTTTCAGTCAGTGCCAAGGAATTTAGAAAATAGCTACCTTGTCAACAAATTAGAAAAATAATCCATGTTCCCATTCCCAAGAAGGGTGATACAGAAAATAATTTCCTATATAATGTGGAAGTTACTGAACAATGTCATTATTATCATATGCAAGCAAAATATTGCTGAAGATTCTCCAGAAACAGCTCTAACAGTACATCAGTGGAGAACTGTCAGAAGTCCAAAACGGACTTCTGAGGAGATCATGTTACTAGGGATATAATTTCTGATGTCAGATGGATCTTAGCAAAAAACAAAAAATACCAGAAGAATGACTATTTGGGTTTTGTTGACTACACCTAGGTATTTGACTGTGAAGATCATACAAGCTATGACTAACATTGAGAAAAGTGGAAATCCCAGAACACTTCATTGTGCTCATGAGAAACCTATACCTAGACCAAGATGCTACCGTTCAAAGACAGCAAGGGAAAATTGCATGGTTTAATACCAATAAAAGTGTTTACTAGGGCTGTATTCTTTCTCTATACCTATTGAATCTGAATGCTGAGTAAATAATTTAAGAAGCTGGGTTTTATTATGAAGAACATGGTATCAAGATCAAAACTCACCAACAAGCTGTGTTATGCAGATGACACAACCTTGCTTGTTAAATGTGAGAAATGTAAAACAGTTGGACAATGAATAAAGATGACAGAAGAAGCAATACCTATAATCTGTGGTGTTGGAGAAGAGTACTAAATATTCACAGATTAACAAAGGAACAAATATGTCTTTAATAAAGTACAACCAGAGTGCTCCTGAGAAGCAAGGATGGCAGATTTTGTCTTATATTCTTTGGGCATGTTGTTAGGAAGATCCATTCTTTGGGGAGGGACGTTATGCTTAGAAAGGCAAAGGGTTAGTGAAAGGAAGGAAGATCAAAGAGATGGACACAGTGACTGTAGAAATGGGCTCAAGTATATCAGAGATGTTGAGGATGGCACAGGACAGGATTCAGATCCATTGCTCACAAGGTCACTATGAGTCATGCTCAACTTGATGACAAAAAAAGAAGGAAAGATCAACTTGACAGCAGTAAGTTCAGTTTGGAGTAACAATGTGGCCTTTTTTTTTTTTTCATGTATCTTCTAAAATGATTTCAGGGACCCAAAACTAGTCATTAACAAAAAATAGCCTTGAGAGTGACTTGACTGCTAAACAGAAAAAGAAAAAGGGAAGGGGTAAGTCCACCCAGAGCACATTTTGTGGAGCTCTGGTAGCCTCGTGGTGAGGAATTTCATTGCCAACCCAAGGCACATGGATTGAATCCATCAGTTGTTCCATGGTAGAAAGTTTGTCAGTCTCTTTTCATGTGATTAGTAGCCTCTGAAGATCTGCTGGAGAGTAAGCTATAAGTCAGTTCCAACTAGCGAGTACATGTCAACAACAAGAGCACATTTGAAGAAAGGCTTGTTGCTGTTGTTGTATATGTGTCATTGAGTCATTTGTGACTCATAGTGACCCTATGTACAACAGCTCTGAACCCTGCTCTTTTTTGAGCCAATCTCATTGTCTCTGACACACAAACCTATTATCCCAGTCACTGGTCACTGAGTCAATCCATCTCATCCAGGGTCTTCCTCTCTTGCACTGTGCCTCTACTCTCCAAGGACAAAGCTTCAAAATCCTTGTCTCCAAGGAGCAGCTTGGTTTCACCCTCTCCAGGACAGACCTGTTTGTTCTCCTGGCAGTCCCTTGTATATTCAATACCCTTCTCCAGCACCACAATTCAAAGGCATCAATTCTTTTATCATCCTTAGTCATTGTCCAGCTCTATGATGCATAACAATTAATTTTGAAGACCATGTTGTGGATCAGGCCTCTGACATCATTGCTTTTCAGTACTCTGGAGAGTTTCCTGACAGCAGATTTTCTCAGTGCAATTCATCTTTGGATTTCCTGGCTACTGATACCAAGAGTTTTGATTGTGGAGCCAAGCAAGCTGAAGCTGTTAACAATTTCAATCTCTTTACTGTCTATCATGATGCTGCCAATTGGCCAAGCAGTGAAATCTTTGTTTTCTTGATGTTGACCTTCAATCTATACTAAAAACTACAGTCCTTAACCTTATGCAACAAATGCCTCAGGTACTCCTCAGTTTTACAAAGAAGGTTGCATCATTTGCATAACGCAGGTGGTTGATGAGTCTTTCTCCAATCCTAATTCCACATTCCTCCTCATAGAGCCCAGCCTGGATGATCTGTTTTGAATATAGATTGAAAAGTTATGGAGACAGCATGCATCCCTGGGGTACACCTTTCCTAATTTTGAACTATGCAGTGTTTCCTTGCTCTGTTCTGATTACTGCTTTCTGGTTCAACTATAGGTTTCACGTAAGCACAATCAAGTGTTCTGGGATTCCCATTCAATGGAAAATTTACTTCCAAATAAATTAGTTATAGTAAGCTTATGAGATTTAGTTCTACACTGACACACTTGGGATGATATGAATTAGAATTGACTCAACAACTGTGATATTTCATAAGTATAAGGTATTTATCAGAAAAATGGACATTAAGCTAAATTGTATTAGAAAGCAAACATGGATAAAAACACTTTCTTAAATGCCCCAACTGCTGTGCTAGAGAAAAATAAGCAATCTCCTCTAGTGAGATTTGCTGCTTCTGAAAACTATGAGTCAGTTCCAACTTGACGGCACATACTAACAATACCATTGGTAAATGGTGGCCTTAATCTACTTGAAACTTCCTTATATTTTTATTTTGCATGCATTGATGATGCCACTCTGTATTTTAAGAACTTTATCATCAATTAAAGAAGTTATGTTTATAACCTGAAATAATTTTAAAGGAGAATGTAAAGTAAAAGTTCATGACAAATAATGATAAAATGAAGTCATAAAATACTTGGAGACACAGTTTTATGATTTTTTTGTATTTTCTTTCATATATAGTACCAATCATGAACTGAGGGCCTTTCAATAAGTCTTAATCAGATTCTGCAACCATGAAAAGCTTCCCTTTTTAACAACCTTGAATTTTGGGGATATCCTTCTGATCTATCACTAGCCCTAGGGAAAAAAATAAATCCATTGTTGAAAAGCTTTGGAAGTATGCAGGGAGATTTTGCCAAACAACTAGTAATATCTACTAGACAATCTAAGGAAAGTAGTCTGGTTGGTAGAACAATTTAATATATTTTCTTGTTAAAGAAATATTCCCAAATGTATTAATTGATTTATTAGTAATCAAAATTGAAGGTATTATGTAAAAACGAACATTAGAATGCATCTTGTCTTTTCCTATATTTTATAGTTTCTAGGTTTAGTAGTTTATATTAAAATAAGGCAGATGTCTTTATTAAGTGTATGCAATGCCCAGAAATGTGTCTTGATGTTATGAATAAAATTCTAATATATTTTGGACAAAGTGTTACATCAAGAGAACAAGACAGAAAGAGCACTGTAAGTATAAAAAATTTTGGCTCAATTGAGGCAGAGAAGTATGTAGAATTTGATGGAGTTCCCGTTGAAAATCCATTCATAATAAAAGTGTTGGGTAGTTTTAACTGACTCAGTTAAATGTAACAGTATGGTTCAGTGGTATAAAACTAAGATGGCAGTGTAAGTTCAGGGGCAAATGCAAAGAAAATGTTGATCTTGACACTGATCATTGAAGCAAGATCTTATCTCAGTCCTATGTTATGATTATTAACATTTCTGAGCAAGTACTTAGTATTTAGATAGGTCATAATAGCCATTTTACATCCCCCCCCCATTTTAATGTTCATCTTTCTCCACGGAAGTCTCTGGATCCTGCAGTTTATATGTTTAACTGTTATCTGAAAGACTGGAAGCTCAAATCCACATGGAGGATCCTTAGAAGACAGAGCCAGCTATCTGCTTCTAAAATATCACACTCACGAAAATCTATCACACAGAGTTCTATTCTGAAACACAGGGTCACCATGAGTCAGAATCAACTCAAGAGCAACTGTTTTAGTTTTTGGATTTTTGTTGCCATATGATGATGATAGCATGAGCATATGAATTTTATGTGAGGTATTGAGTCAAATAAGTAAGACCCTTTTCCTAATTAATCTGGACTAGAGTGAGAAGTTGTTGTTGTTGCTGTTTTTGTTGTATTCCATTAAGTCAGAACTGACATACAGCTGACCCTTCCAACAGGTTTTCAGAGGGTATAAATCACATGGAAGAAACTTCCTGTATTTCTCCTGCAGAGCAAAAGCTGGGTTTGAGCCATATTCATTTGCACTGGTAGTGTAATTCCTTACCACTAAGTCACCAGAATAAAATATATTTTAAGGGCAAAAATGAAATTATAATTAGTAATAATAGTAGTAACATACTTAATTAAAAATATAGCTTGGATCTGAAACTAATGGGCTTGTCAATACTGCTTTTCACCACCACTACCTCAAACATGTGCACATAACTCAACTATACACATGGTAACTGTAGGTCACTCTTTAGAAGACAAAATTTGTGCAAGTAAGCTGAACTCGAAAATAAACTGATATATGTCTACAACCAGAGATTTGTAGCTCCACAAAGAAATGAAGGCTCGCTAGCAATCAGCTAAGACATTCCTTACCCCAGGGAGAAAAGTGAGTGAGAAAGCAGAACTGAAGTGTTATTCTAGCTGCAGTCCTTCCACAGAGGAACATAATGCCAATATTGCACCTTAACAGGTGATACAGAAATTGAAAGCTAGCACATTGATAGGATATGGTAGACACTAGATAAGTGCTTCCTATTGTTATCTTTGTCATGTAATACTTGGCAGTACTTACTACTAGCCTTCTTAGGGCATGTAACCACACTGAGCAAATACGTGCAAACGTTTTATGCTGGGTCTTCCTGAAGTTCAGTAATCCCTCTTATCCACAGGTTATCATAGAACTAAGCACGGTGATATTTTCTTTCCCTCCAGATAACCTCTGGTCTACACAAAATGCAAACAAGGTCATGAATCATATTCAAAATGATTTCTCACTTCTTATTGTCCACTTGCAAATTTACTTAACTTCTTTTGCATTGTTTTACAGTTTATGTGGCATACAAGAAATACTATGGAAAAAATAAAGAAGATCTTCTAGAGAGCAGAGACAATGAAGCACTACCTGAGTCGTCGTTCTACAAGACAAATGGAGGATTTCAGCCAGATTCAAAGTAGACAATAGTGGACAAAGCAAATTCTAAAGAACATTTTTCGACTACATCTAATTTTTGGCTGGAATAATTGGCAGAAAAAAATGTGAAGTGAAAAATTAAATTCCAATTGTACTCATATTTTGGATTCAGTACCCACTGACTGGAAATCCAATTTTTAATGTGAAAAAATACTGTTAAAATATATATGTATATGTGCAATGCCATTAAACTCTGCCAAGAAAATATCTTCAGGACTGACAGAAGTAACACTGACAACATTGTAGGCTCTGAACTGAATTCTTAACCAGAATTTAAACACTCAGAGATGAGCACTTAAATTCTTTCAATGTTAAAATAGGTGCGATGAATTATTGTTATAAAGTGACCAAGAATTTTTCCAGTATTTATGATTACAAAAAAATTAAGTGGAAGTTTTTCACCTGAATTGTAATCATTCTTTTGAAAACTTTGCAACCTATTTATTTATGTAACTTTGTGGTAAATATGAACAAATACATGTTGTGAAATATTTTTAAAAGGCCTTCTCCATTAACAGTCCATTAGCAGAAAGGATAAAGAAGAGTTACCAGACAGGTAGGGTTCAATTACCTAATTGGTATCAGATCCACAACTCATTTAGAAATATTATTAGTCCATGTGACCCATTAGATCATATAAAGAAAAGCTAAATCCTTTCAAATGGTTTGGATTTGTCAAAGAGCAACTAAAACCCCATAGAGACTTTCTTCAAAGTTTGCCAAGCAGAAAGCAGACCCACATTGGCTAATGTAACAAACAGCTAATTCATAAGAAATATCTGTAATAGACATCACAGGACAAAAAGAGGCAAGAGACACAAAAATGGAGGTGTGTTGCAAGAAATATCACTATTCCAGTGGATGCATACAGCTCAAAGAACAATAAGGAAAAATACATGGTAAAACATGAATAGAAGAAACAATCTTGAAAGTTTTAACTGGAGCCATTAGCTATGTAGCAGTAAGTAGTAATAAGAATCAAGTCATGGAAGGATCAAGAAAGTGACTATTAAATAGTATATGAAGAAGCAGAGGACAAGTTCCAATTTCAGGAAATAAGAAGCATTGGCAGATGAGTTCCTCAGAGGCAATAAGTGGAAGCAACTAGCGGACTCGGGGGGATTTGATCAACAACAGTAGGATATTATAGCAAGGAGAGAGCAACTGGTTCTCAATTACAAAGTCTTTGGTTCTCAATTAAAAGTTCCGTATTAATTTCTTTTACTTCATGTTTTATTTTGCAAGATGCTGTTGTTGTCTCACATTCTTTGGGAAGAGATATAGTCATTTTTAATTCAATACCATTTTTCATTTGGATATTCTCACCTACTCAAAGATCTCATCTCACATGTTTCGGCACCAAAACAGACTTGTCATTTAAATTGTCTGAGTTCAGCTTCTGTTAATCCATCTGTGTATTAGAGAATAATGAACATGAACTCATAATGTAACATTTTTAAAACAGAGAAAAAAAATCTGCTTTTAAAAGCTGTAATGTTTATACATGTGTAATTTTTTGTACAACATACCCATTTATAACTGAATAGTATCCCATATATTTTTACCACTAGATCAATTAAAGCTATGAGACATTTTTTAAAGATAGTAACATTGGGGGTGATGCAGATTTTCCCTTTAGGGAGTAGCCAAGAATATACTTCTTACTGTTAAAGTAAGACTTTCAAGTTTTCAAATACCTCCTACACTTTCCCCATCAAATAGAAAATAGGTACATTAAAAACATGCTGTGAGTTCACACCATAAAATCCAGGGCCTAGATACCAGCAGCTGTAATAAACAATGTTTTTCCTCCAGTTGATCAAGATATGTAAGACAGAACTTGGCTTTCTTGCATAATACGATATTTTGTGAGTTGTATTATCTCTTCCAAAGCAATGGAGGGAAGAAAAACAACTGATGTTTTTAAAATGACCGCTCTCTTTTTAAATGAGTTGAAACATTGATTAAAGTATGTATTTTATTACCTCTGTGAGTATAATAGTAAATTAATATTTTCTTTTAAGGCCTTGAATAAATGAAAATAATTTTTGTAATGTTTGTTTCATTTGCATCATTTATGAAGACTCAAGATTTCTTCTCTGATCGGTTCTAGGGCTATAAAATAAGGTGGAGTGTCTCAGATCTCAAATTATTCTTTGAAAAATATTTTGACAAAAACTCTTTATTATATGCTCTAACTACTAAGTCTCTTGATGATATTGAGGTTTTTTTTTAAAAAAACAGTCACATTATGTGAACATTAGTCAAAACTCTTAAAAGTAGTGCAACAATAATACCTGCTTTAAAATAATTACAGCATTACATGAACTAATCGATGATACCAACACCTCCTAAATTCTATGAAAACTGTGTGTGTGTGTCTCTGTGTGAGGCTGTGTGTAATTCAGCTCTTTTAAAAGACAGCTAAAGGATTTTGCTTTCAAAAGATAACATTTTCATATTATATGTATGTTTCAATTATAGCATTCATTCATGCTTTAAAAGTTTTAATCAATGAAAATTTAAAGAACTTAAAGTTTAGATTAATATGACTTCTCAAAAAAGATGTTCTGTTTTGCATCTGGAATTCTCTCACTCTTTTCTAGTACGGCAAAATAAATCTTTCATAGAATACTTTTTATTCTATTATCTTGCAGTGTTCACTCTTTTAAATACAAGATGTTCTAAAATAATCTTAAAACCCTGCTATGGGTACTTTAGAGAATTCTTGAAATCATCAGGGTATATGCAGGCATGGACCGAGAATCAACTTGTCTCTTCAACTTCTATCTCTACACTTTCCCAGATCTTTCCTGTCCAAGAGGTTCCAGGGCTTGAATTGTCGTATAGTACTTCTTTCTTACGTCTTCTTTCATTGTCAAGGTTCTACAATTTGACAAAAGCAAGACATTACACTAACCTGCCCTAATCCTACTATGGTGCATTGGCCCATGGTCAAACACCAAACAGCAGGACAATTCAAAATATTGGTAGCTCAGGAAGGACCTTCTCTTTATAAATTATATACATACTTACTTAGACTTTAGAAATTGGTCCTTTGGTCTATTGGAATATTCTGAATTCAATAATAACTTACAATTGAGAGAGTGAAGATAATTTCCTGTAATAATTCTATCAGAGTTCTTTTTCAAAGTAGAATTAATAATGATGATGACGATGATCATTCTGTAAGAAAAAAACCAAGCAAACATTCCCATGGCTCAGCTTTCAGCCAAATATGGCTGAAGATGGGACAACAAAGTGATAGGACAATATCTAGAAGGCACTCAATCCTTAGAATTAGGACCATATAAAGAAAAAAATAAATTTTTTTAAAGGAGAATTGGCTATGCAAACTAAATACTTTTCCTCACTCAAGAGGTTACACATCTATAATAAAACCTTGAATTTTTTGTATCTTGGACTTGGTATTCAGGGTGAAACAATTAATGAAAGATACCTTTAAATAAGCTAAGGTTGCCTGGAGACAATTATAGCTGACAACAACTAATTTACAGTGAGAAACTGTCCTTCTCAACATCATCTGTAACACAAAACAAGTTCCCATGAGATCAGATATGTCCCCTACACTCCTGCATCTTTTTGTTGTTGCTGTTGATTGCCTTCAAGTTAAGCATGACTCATAGCGACTTTTTGAACAAAAGGCCTGAAGCCCCTCTACAATTATCGACATTTATCAAAGTTCACAGAGTTTCCAGAGGTGTGTTATTTAGGAAGTGGATGCCACTCCTGCTTCCAACTATTCATCCCAATACTAATCTTATTGCTTTACGAGGTCCAAAATACAATGCAATAGCTCACAGACCACACAGAACCATATCTGGAAAGTCAAAAGGCTATATAATTCATGTTGGTAGCAGATATAATCATTCAGACAGCTTCCAAAATGTGCTCACAGGCATCTCAGCCTTCAGCCTTGCTGCTTTAGGCAAGTGCTTCAAAACCCTTAGTCCTGCCTCCCTCCACCAATTCTCAAAAATCTTGGGCTAAAAGTTTTGAGCACTGATTACAAGGGGGAGTGGTCTCATGGTCAGCTCTGTTTCATGTCAGGTCTCCAATGCTGTGTTGAAACTATTGCCATTGTAGCTCTAGCTGGTGTAAGAATCTCTGGCTTCAAAGGGTGTGCACTGCATTCCTTTGCTTCATTTTTGCTGGTAGAGAGTCTCAAAATCTGCCTCTGAATCTGTTCAAATTAATGTTTCACACTAGACAATCCCCTGTGGATAGGTGATTTGCACATTCCTATCCATTCATATGGTAAAGTAAAAATCAATTGCTAGTGAAGTTATTTTTAACAATAAGTCCTTACACCTAGTACGATATTGGCATATTTGTTAGAACTGAAAAGTGAAGACAGATATTTTTTTCTGACAAAAATATTGGATGATTCATTTAGCCAGGGTGTTTGCTTTTCCAGTGAAATAATATAAATGACAATTTCTATAAATTGTGTGAGCTAATATGCAATTTCAAGATTTTAAAATGTGATTAAAAAATAAGGCATATGTATAAAGATAATTTATTTGTATGCCCCTTGTCACCACTTTTATTCAATATTGTACTGGAAGTGTTTGCTAGAGCAATACATCAAGAGAATAAAAGACATCTGGATTGGCAAAGAGATGGTTAAACTATCACTATAGGCTGATGGTATGATAGTGTATACAGAAAATCCCAAGGACTCAACAATAACAACAACAACCACAACAACAAAAAGCCAGTTAGAGCTAATAGATCAATTTAGTAGAGTGGCAGGAATCCACATCTCATACCATACACAAAAATCAACTAAAGGTGGATCAGAGACCAGAGAGTAAAGCCCAAAACCATAATGCTCATCAGAGACAAACTGTTAACAAACTTAGACAGCTTAGTCTATGGTTTAAAGAGACTTCCAAATACAACACAGCCAGAAATGCACAATATGGAGAGGATAAAAATTTATGAATGAGATTTTCT